AAAAAGTTTAGTGTTTAAACATGAGAATACACAGAGGTTGGCATCACAGGAGCAGTTCTGCTGCCTCTGATGTAAACTGAAGCTTTTAAAAGTACGAAGTGTATGCAGCTCTGCCTGGTTAGTGTGGTGCACAGCGGTTGCAGTGCGCGGCGTAGGCGCGTGGGAGGGCCGATCATTGCCGCTTGCGGCTATATTTTGTTTACTTCCTTCCACTTCCTCAGTGTGCCCAGAGTGTGGCAAAGCAAATGGAGACACTGGTCACGAGACACTAGGCTTATGAAATTAAAAAATGGGCCTGGCTGGGCTTATAAGAACATTACCTTATAATAAACTGTGAAAAATTTTAAATGAAACAATAAAAGCAGCCTGTCTACCACCAAATCTTCAGCTTTATAGTGTAGCTGCTTAGGGAGGTGAAGTCCGAGATTTTTTCTGTATATCGCCTCCAAGTGTATTCCAAACGTAATTACAGTTTACGGGCCAGCCCTCTGCTGGAGGCTCTCTGCAATTGCCTTCTTTTTTCTGGAAATAAAGAAGAAACATCACGGAGTGGAGAAGAAAAGCTGTACCCCGTGTTATTTTTTACGGGCTCGTGCTGTTCTAAACGTTTTCTATTAAGATCCCCTCTTCACTTTTCCTGAAGCCAAACCTCGGTTATCCTTGTGCTTTTTCACCTTGAGTCAAACCATGGTAGAACCCAGACACATCGAAACACTTGAGGTTTGTGGGGGGAGATGGTGATTGTTACAAATACAATACGCTTTAATGTCCTCACACAATGTTTTGTTGTCGAAAACATTGGTACACTGAGACGCGTGTGCGTTTTTGGTAACGTGTGCCATGATAATGGAAGATAACGCGTATGGCACGTCAAAAGAACACAAGCAGAGTGACAAGGACGAGGAGAGAGAGAGAAAGGGGAGGGGAACTGACATTAAAGCAACACAACAAGGAAACTACACTGCGGAGCCAGACGCCTTCATTTCTGTTTTTGAATAATAGCCCGAGCACTGGCAAAGTGTGGTCGACGTGTGAAGCTGCCCAATTCTCGCACAGCCTCAAGTGGCCCGGAAAGAACCTCTTTTGACCGGGTTGGATTTAAAGGCGCTCGCTGATGTCCGCAGATATGGGTGAGAATAATGAAAGAGACTCATAATAGTGATAGTAGTGACTTAAACACAAGGAGCAGGCCTGTTCTGGCCGAGCCCCATTGAAGCGTCAAACAAAAGACCAACCAGAGCATCGCGCTAATTAAAGAAATGACACTTTTGTCTAGTATTAAGAGTAGCCCTTTTCAGTAAAGGGGGTGAACATCTTCGTTGTGAAGGTATTACCCAGCTGCTATTAATGCGCACCATGACGGCATGATGATGTCCAATAGACATTTACTACTATAGAGATGAATAAGCTATGCATGAAACCAAAATGCTGTCTCAAAAGTTTCATAAAAAGTTCACAGAAGAACTGCAGTTGTACTAAACCCTATGGCACATGGTGTATTTCAGGTTCGGAGCGCCCCTGCTCGCCACAGGTGGTGGAGGATGGAGGAGAGGAGGATGAGGAGGAGCTGAGTGGAGGAGAGGAGGCAGACCTGCGCTCCAGTATGGGCCGAGGGTCTCTGCTCACACGAAGAGGCATCACCCTCAGGGTCCTGCTGAAAGACGGCCTGGTGGAGCCTGGAGAGGGTGTCCTGACTATTCATTATCTGGTAAGAGCTGAACACAGAGGCCTGTGTGGACTGTCAGTAGTCTGAGTAAAACTATGTTCTCATTTTGTTTTAAAGGGAAAAAACTTTTCAGGGGACCTCCTGACTGACGGGAAGATCCGTTGGGTGGAAACAGGACAGACCTTTAACTCTCCAAGTGCGTGGGCCACACATTGTAAGCGACTTGTGAATCCAGCCAAGAAGTCGGGCTGTGGCTGGGCTTCAGTGCGCTACAGAGGACAAAAGCTGGTCCAATACAAAACCACATGGCTGCACAAGTACCAACCCAGTGCCGACATGGTGAGAGGCTGTAGTTTATGAAGTATCAAAGTAAATATGACAATGATAATGCTAACCCTGTGTGTGGTAGAGCCTGGTAAGTGAGGAAGAGGATGATGAAGATGAAGAGGAGGGAAAGACAGCTGTACAGACTGATGACAAGAACAAAAACAACAAACCTGGACTACATGGTAAGCATACACAGGTGTATTTCATGTGTTAATGTGAACATTTACTTTTACCAAAGTGCTTTGAATGCCTTGAAGGTGGAAAAGTGCTGTATACGAATGTGACCATTCACCATTTATCATTTACCATCACCATTTCAGATGTGACAGCCTCCAGGAAGACTGACAGAGAGAGGATTCCTGTCAGATATTGCACCTTAGGCACCAGAGACGCAACCAGGTATTGTCTATATTCTGTTCAATATCTTCTGTGAAGTGGAGTAAATTTAGATGATGAAAATCCCAAACCTGTGCGCACAGAGACCCACACACTCTGGTGGAGCTATCTGCATTTTCAGCCATCAACCGGTTCCAGCCTTTCAATGTAGCTGTGTCCAGTAATGTCCTGCTGCTAATGGTAACACCAAAGATCAATGAACATTCACTGCTTTTCTAATTCCTATATGTAACTAATGCGCATTGTGTGAGTTAGGACTTCCATTGTCACTTGACTACCAGCGAGGTGGTGGGATACCTTGGGGGAAGATGGGACACTAACACACAATGTATGTAGATATTAGACTTAGATATAGTTTTTCTTAACTTAATATAAATACAATGAGAACTGTTCAGCCCTAATGCTCTTGTTTTGGTTTTAGTGTTGACAGTTTTAAGGGCTTTTCCATGTCGAACCAGACTGGCAGATAAAGAAAGTGCTTCTGCTGTGGAGGAGGAGGTAACACACAGATGGATACTGTAGACTTTGGGTGCATTCACACTTGCACATCACCACATCTCAACTGGCCCTAAACAAGGACTAATTCTGGAATTAAACTTGGAGAAGAACAGGTCCAAGTCTGCATTAGGACTCAGTTTGGGCTGAAATGAGGTGAAGTGTGGACCTTAGACTGTATAAATAAATGGACATAGCTAACACACCAGCTGCTGTGTTCCAAATAGGAAGTTAGCATGGAGGTGCTTCTGGCTCCTTCTGACTCTGGTTACCATTGACTTACATTGGAATATTAAGGCCTCTCTCTCTGTGAGCCTCGACATTTGGTCTTAAAATGTTCGTATTAACCTACTCTGCATGATCCTGGTGCTTTTATTTTTCGCAATTTTGTCCGTTCTACTAAACTATTCCTAAAATAGAGCTTGGCTCCAAACTTATGGATGACGTGACACTCGCTTAGTCCACTTCTTTATGCAGTCTATGGTGTGAATGCACCCCAAAAAACATGATGACTGACACTGGTGTTTCAGATTATTTGAGTCACAGTTGTTTACACTACTGAAATTCAAATAAAAAATATTTTACGTCTTTCCCTCTGTATATTACAGTAAATCTATTTAAGAATCAATGAAATATGGGCACCTGTTTTATGCTAATATAGAACGTTATTACAGTTACAGTCACTATAGACATTATTATGTTTCATAAAGTGTACATATGACATGTATGATGTTGCAGATTTGTCAAAACCTATTTATGCGTGGGCTGTCCTTGGTGGGGTGGTACCACAGTCATCCACGGGGTCCAGCCCTGCCCTCGCTCCAGGACATCGACTCTCAAATGGACCACCAGCTCAGACTGCAGGGCTCCAATAATGGCTTCCAGCCCTGCCTGGGCATCATCTGTGGTGAGCACCTTAGTAAAAGTATAGTACACAGTTACAGTATTTATTATTAACATTGATTTATTGTAATAATTCATGAATATTTGTTGAATCAGGCCCATATTACCATGGTAACCAAGGTGTAGCATCCACAATAACCCCCTTCTGGGTTGTACCTCCACCTGAGGTAATACCTACATTCTCATATACTTACTTTTATAATAGGACATTTTATTCACTTTTTCCTTTCTCATTTTCATTTTAGCAACGTCCCAATGATTATGGAATCCCAGTAGCTGTTGAAGTCACATATGTACAGGACAACTTCCTCACCAGTGACGTCTTGAATGAAATGGTGCTTCTATAGACCATTATCTAATACCATTATCTAAAAACTAACACTAATATAATGTTTAATCTCAGTGGGTGACTGCATGTCTGTTTTTGTTGCACAGATGCTGCTTGTTGACTACTACAGGGCAGCACCTGACCTGGTTCAGTTTAACCAGTTCTGGTGTCCTGATACAACAATGATGGACAAGATTAAGGTGAGACACTCAGTAGAAACATATCAACATCCTGCAATGTATTTTAGTCTTGATTATAAACATTTGCTTACTGTGTTTTTCAGGGCTCCTTAAGTTGCCATGCCCCCAAAGACCAGGCCTACTCTCAGATACTAGAACATGTATACAGTCAGCTCAATCACATCCAATGAGTGTGCAGTGTGTACATGAAACACAGCACTACTTACTACTCTGAGACTGAGATGCCCAAACGTATAAAAGTGCATAAGCTAAAGTTGACTTTACCTGGACCTATGTGCTGCCTGCGCTTGCATCCTGCTGTAGAAGCACATATTACATGTTTATGAACAGTATCACATTTGAGTGAAGTGACTGCCTTTACTGTGGGGTATTGTAGCACTATAGGTATGGTAGGCACAGATGTATTGTGAGATGATGTTGTTCATGTGGAAAGATGTTATGTGTTAACTGTAGTAGATTGTGCTGCTGCCTGGTCACATGACAGTCCTGTTATTTAGGACTATGGCTTCCTCTTGACCTTTACTGTTATTTACTGTAGATGATGTAATGAAATGCCTTAAGACTGCTGTTTGATGAACCAATAAGCATTAAATATTTACACTGGAATTTAATACAAAAGATTATAATTGTAATTTACATATATCATACATTTTTAAAACAAAAAAAAAAACAAAGACAAAACCACTTACAGGTATTTTTCTTTATTTAAAGTAGGGCACAGGGGCATGAAAAGACAAGACAAACTACAAATATCTAGATACTAAACAATGTATTGTGGTTAAAGTTTGTACTCATAACAAAAGTAAAAAGACACATTTAAAATGTATTATATTGGACAACATGCAAAGATTAATTTGAGAGGTTTAAGGTATTTATATAAAAAATAATACTATATATAGAGCCAACTTGCCTATGCCAAAAGAGCACTTAAGACTGGAGAAACACCTATATTCAACCCTTAAAGAAAGGGACATTTAATACATGTATTAAACTCTGATTAGAATCTACTGCTCAATCTCACACAGAAATACCTTAGACTATGGCTGTAGTGTAGTAAATGTACAGAGAAAACAAACACATGCATTCTGTCTAGTCCATGTGTAAGTCAAAGGAAATGTCTGCCCATTAATTATAAAATTTTGGTTTGTTGGTGAAAATACAATTTTCTCCTTTTCCACAGAAGGCACAGAAACAAGCATGCTTAACACACTCTGTTCTCCCACATTTCCCTGAACTTTGTAAAAGTACTGACTGTTGAGCAGATGTAAACATGAGACAATGAGCCAACTACACAGGTGGTGGTGTGGAGTGTTGGGAACAGTTAAAACAGTGGCCACAAACTGAACTTAACCACTGTAAATCACAGTAAAGGATTTGACCCACTATGACTCACTGACAAAAATGTCTTCAAAGTGCACAAGACATGTTTGGTAAGACTGACTGGAAGAGTTGCCTCTGGGTATCTCCCTTTTACTCCAGACATTCCCATCTTAAACACACAGGCAGGGACTGGGGATTGCATCCTAAACTAGAAGCCAAATGTTGTTCTACAGAAACTACACTGCTCAGTTTGACTTTTTCTAAATCAATGAGTCAGACAAAAGGCCAACAATCAGACAGAGCTGCTGCCTGCAGAGCTCGTCTTTTCAAGCAATAAGTCAGCTGACCAAATAGGTTAGGTCAAAAGATCAGGACAGAGCAGAGAAATATGAAATACGGCTGTGTATAGAGTTTGAAACAGGCACACTTAATTGCGATTACATTTCATACAAACTTTTTGGCTCACTCAGCTCTATTAAAAAGATAAGAATAGACTACAGTCTAATGTGAAAGTCTAGACAACAAACAGACATCTGCCAAGGTGCAAGGTTTGTGTTACTTTGGTGCCGATGTGGAGTCAGTCGTTCAAACACTCAGCAATCTCATCTAGACAAAGGTGCAAATTACGTTTCCCCAAGAAGAACGGTTCCACAACAAAGCGGAGATCACAGATCCAATACTGAACACTAAAACATCTCATGCATCATCATCCTCAACTGCACACCGTAGACACAGACAACAAAGAGAGGAGGAGCATTTTGACAGGAAATGTGATTTCAGCTTTAAAAAAGCTGTTCTAAAATAAGCCAGCAGATGTCACTAAGAGCTGAACTTGAGCCCCTCAAACCATGTACTCTTCAGCGGTATTAAAAATGATTCTGTCTAATTCTGACTGTTTAATGCTGACTGGTTTACTCCTAAATACTATGGACAGTGGAGCACATTTGCAGAAATGTGTTACGAAATGTTCAATCTCAATAGATCGCTTCCTTTTAATAGTCTTTGTTCATTTAATTTGCCATCAGTCTTTAAACTTGTAATAAAGCAGATGAAAACTGTGCTGGTGGATGATGATGTTGAAAATCATATGTAAACTCTAAACTACCGTAGCCCTAATGGGGCAGTGGAACCAGCACCTCCACATAGTTGAGTGGGAAGAATCCTGACTGGCCGTTGAGCATGCCCTCATACCAGTTCTCGTCGATCTGATTGGTTAGAATAATAATGTCTCCTTCGCGAAAGCCCAGCTCACCATCATTCTCTGGGTCAAAGTCGTAAAGGGCTTTACAGCTCGGCTGTTCTGGAGCTGGAGGCAAAGAAAAATCAAAAAAAGTTTTCAACGGCACTTATAAAACAATGATATTGTTAAGATATTCTCTATGATGATCACGACACATTCAAAGAGAAGTGATTAAAACTAAAAGCTCTGACTCAGTGAGCTACAGAGTCACTCAGTAACATGACTGTTCAAGACTCCCTCCTACATGTAGAAAATGAGTTACTGCTGATAGTGATGAACAAAAGTATAGCTTTATAGACATGTTGCTTAATTCTTGTTGGTCATATATGTGTTAGTAAAGCACTGCTGCCAGCAGTAACAGTTAACTGCTACATTTCACTACTTGTGTGTGTTTCCTTTATGTGGCAGTTGGTGACCTCAGATACATGCGCTGAGGGGAGTGAGGCTGTCACACAAACTGGGCTTTTTGTCTCGTAACAATTTTCTCTTTGTGTCTCACTGTCCTCAAAGCCTCCACAGAAACACTATAGAATCACTGAGCACGTCTAATCTTCAATCACAGTGTATCATTTCAACACAAACAAAAACATTTGAAAATATATTTTTAGTGAATCAATGTAGAAATTCAGTAAACAAAAAAATATGGAAGATGTTAATGTAATGTACATTTGCAGAAATGTATTTTGAACTTTAACGCTTCCTAATATGTTATAAGCACACACTGGTATTTATACACGGCATGCAGAGTTAAGAGTAATAATTAAAAGTAAGTAAAAGTAAAAGAGCCAAGCCTGCAATGCAAAGCCAGATTGTGCATTATACCAGAAGCAGTGACCACAGACAACAAGTGTTACAAAAGACCTCACACTGTGTGACTCACACAATCTGGGTTTCCGAAAAGAAAATCTGTCCAAGTGCAATGACGCCTCTGAAGTGTCATAGAGGAGAGGAGTAGGTCAGAGGGAGAGAGCCAACCAGCTCACAGGGAAAACACACTCACATGTTCCTGTGCTTTGAGCGGACATAATATTGGTTTGCATACATTACCTAAAGGCTGATCCTAACTATCCTCATTATTATTTGTTTAGTCTAAATGAACTAATATCTTAACTGTAAATCATGTTGTTGATCTAACTCGATTCCCCAGAGAGAAAAAAGATTAAACATGGTGCGAGACTCAAACACGAAAATCTTGATGTCAGTGCATGCTGTCACTGATTATATGCACTTTTTTTTAACAATGGCCACATTTGACCTAAGCCTTTAAATATGTTCATAAAATGCTATTTCAAAGTGAACAGCCAGAGACTTTGTTCTCCAAATACATCATGTTGATAATTTTGGTGCAGTGGCATGACATAACATGCCAGGTATGAAAAACATGTTATCTACACTCAGTCACTGTTTATAGCGGTATATGCCAGCCACTCATTAGTTCCATGTATTGTATTGTAGTTTTTACAGTCTAGACTCTAGAGTCTATCTCAATACATAATACGTAAACAATACCTGAGTTCCGTGAAGGTGGTGCAGCCATAGAAGAGGTGTATCCTCCATTTGAATGACTGTTGTCCCCAAAGTCATACACAGGTTTAGGTTTAGGAGTGTATTCACGTCTGGGCCTCGACTGAGCCTCTGTCACCCTGTTCAAATGACAGAAGAACAAGAATAAACTGAGCAACTTCCGACTGGTCCAAATTTGATTTGTCAGCGTGCCCCATTGTCCAAGTACCCCTTTGAGAAACAGGAAGCTATGAAACATATTAATACGGAGAAAGTTGGTTGAGCACATCCTACAAACCATACCTTTAAATGTTTTAACATGTTCTTTTGCCAGTTTTGTAGACAATTCTATTTGTGAACAATTGAAAAGTTGCCAGAATGTTACTTGCACCTATCTGAAACTTTCTGAGCATGGTAACTTGACCAAACAAGGGTGTGCATGGGATTGGTGTTTGGCTGCACCTGTCCTGGAGCTTGCTGTAAAGATCCTCCAGCACCTGCACGGCCTCCCTGTGGTACTGCAGCTGAGACTCCACCAGAGAGGACAGCTGGCTCACCTGCTCGATCTGCACACACATACACACGCAATATGTTTCCATGCTTTGTAAAAACATTACATCCACTCACACTCATTTCCTGAACATTGATCCTAACTTAAACCACAATTTCTGCATACATAATTACAATAAATTTAATTAAACCTGCACACACGTGCGCACACACGTGCGCACACACGCACATACACACACAATTTCTGATCTCCCTGAAGCACAAGGTCCCAATGAAGCCTTGGGCTGGGACCGTTGAGTACTTGAATGGAAAGCCACTGGGAATACCAGAGACATGTACTACAATGCTAGATTAAAGGGTTACCAAGGGATAGGGTTACAGGTACAACAAAACTGGATAATTTCATGGTAGACCTCTAAAAACGCACCCTAGACCAGGGTAAGTTCCCAATAAGATAAGAAAAGAAATCTTTGATAAAATCAGATGAGAATCCTGCTGCTGTGGGCCAAAGGAATGGCCTGTGTGCACAGAAAGGGAGTGCAGAAGAGACATAAAGGAGTAAAAAATACTTGATTAATGTGCATAGTCTTTCACATGAACGTGCACAAGTTTTCTAAAGGGGATCACAGAAAGCATGTTTAATTATTATTGTTTAATTATACTGTATGCGTTACATTATGTATACAATTCTACACTACAATGTAACTATGCAAATTTATGTGAGACTTTGTAATTCAGAACATGACCTGAAATGTCAGCTACTTAAAACAGGCGCTGAAGTGGGACTGCAATGTAAACCGTTGTTGTGCCCTTGGGCAAGACATCTCATATGAGTGTGCATTTGTGAGAGTGAATGGATGGGTATTGGATGGAAATAAGCCCATTAGCCCATTACAATTATACCCACAAACAGGTGCAAAAGTCAACAACACACAAGGTCATTCTCAACTACTCCTTTGGTAAACTAACACTTGATAGGAAAGGCTCCAAGAGCACTAAGCCCTTGGCTTACTATGAGAAGCCCGACATGACCTTTTTCATTTGACAAAATCTAGCTCTATATAACTCAGTATAGAATGTTATTATTTTTCCTGTTTGTGACAAGGCCTATAATCTAGTGAAGATGTTTCATAGTTTATGTTTATACTAACTTGCATTATGGATGTGAGTTAGGTACATTATACTTTGTTTTTAATATGCACTATTCCATAAATAAATAAATTAAAATACGTTGGCTGTTTATAAATGTATAACTTGTGTGACCTTAAAAGCTCAGGTCTGGTCAGGGTGGTGGGCTTGCACTCACATCAGTCTCCAGGAGGTTGTACATGCTCGTCTGGGCCACTTCCTTTGACTCGTGAAACTTCTCCAAAGCCTGCTGGATCTCCTCGTCAGGGATCTTCCCCAGGCGCTTCTTTTTGTAGTCGTAGTCGAGCCGCCTGCCCTCCAGCTTCTTAAGATGGTGCTGAAATCACAAGGGCTCATTTCTTTAGATTAGACCTAAACTAAAACCTAAGACAATTCATTATTTAAGTTCAAGTAAATCATGGAGGACCAGACTAAACAAAACCAGGCAAAAGTCAGGTACAACTCTTATTTCCTACAATTAGAAGTGCAAAAAACTTAATCCAATAGTATAGGGCTAAGTATTTCAATTGGTTTAAGATTCTCAATTAGATTTGGTTTATTTTACAATCTTTAGATTATCAGTACCAGTTTACAGTGCACACTTAAAAAATTGGGAGTATCAACATTTGAAATATGATCTGATAAATATGAAGAAATAAATCACATACATTTCAGAATGTTGTTTGTAAATGTCTAATGTACTGCTTAATAAGTATCTATTTAGTATGTATAAAGTTGGCATGTACCTGTATCTCTCGGAGATCCTTATCACACAGGCCTTGTAAAGGATCAATAAAGTTCTGTTTGACGTCGATGTCGAGAGAGTCTTTGACCTCTGCCAGCCTCTTCATGGCCTCTCCCACATCCACCAGCGCTCCACCTGCCACACACACAGCTCATCAAATATACATTTATCACTCTATCCTTCTATAAACGCTGGTCATGAGGCTACTTAAACTGTTGCTTTAGTGAGGTCTGGAGCAATAAATTATTAAGATCACTCACTCATCCTTAATTATAAACACTATATCATAACAAGCTGCTGGATGGTGGAGATCTATCATAAACAAACCAAAGTTAGTGTCCTCTCCCAGCTCCCGTCCGTATTTGGTCATGCACTCCCCAAGCAAGCCCTCAGCCTGGGGGTACCCCGGGTTCTTCACCTGACCACGGATCTTGGACACGGTGTTCAACATGGACAGCTTGGCCCTGGAGGCTGCAAAATATTATACACAATTACATGTTTTTATGAAGAGCAAACAAGTGATTAAGTTTATAATTAAAGTTGCCGTCTCACCTGGATTGGGCTGAAGGTACTCCGAGGTTTTTGAGATGACATCTACTACTGCTTTACTTGTCACATCTACTTTCTGTGTACCACAAAGATTGAGGTCATGTTGCATTCATCAGTGCATGAATTATAATGGTGTTTTTCAAATAAAGGACAGATATTTATTTTTAACAAATGTATTTAAGCATTGGTGTCTCTTACCCGTTCCAAGTCTTTGAATTCCTCATCGAGTTTTGTTCCTTCTGCACCACCCACTTTCTCACTCACCATCTGAAAATAAAGACAATTGAAATGGAACATTATAATGTGTCCCTCAGTCGTCAGTGTTTTTCACTTGTATTTGAAACTGCGCTGAAACACTCCATTTCCCAATAAAAAGATGTCTCACATGCAGTTAACTCCACAGGAAGGTAGTGAGTTCTCCAGTGATTCTCCTGCTTTATTGATAGCTGCTAGAGACTAACAACATGGCTGATATTATGCAATCACTTGTGCTAGCGCCATAAACTATTTCTTCTGCTCCCTGTTTATGCCAAACAGACACAACATATAAACAGATGCATGCATTTCCGCTCATGGGGCACTATTTCATTCACATTATTAGTTTTGTAAAAGTTTAGACTTAATGTTAACAACAAATGTTAAATGCCACACGAATATTATGTGTTCAAAGTTACATTGCACATTGTCCTCTGAATGGTGTGGGGCCTTCAAATACAGTTGGTGAATCTTTGCTGAATTCAGAAAACACATGAGAGAGGCCTTGAGGGATTCATAACAAGCCAAGTACAGAATAGAAGCGACACTCAAGTCTGCCCTTCATTTTGACTCTAGAAAGATACAACCCTGATTCTATCTACTAAAATAACAGGATCTCACTTTGTATTACATTTGTATTATCTTAAACACACACAGATTATACCCAAAAGTATGTCTTACTTGACATAAAAGCTGAGACACTAAATATCCTAACAAATCCAACAATTCATTTAGGTATAAACAGGGTATAAAACTACACAACAAGATGAGTCAAGAGCAGCTGTTTCTTTCAACATAATTACTAGGTTGAAGGCTATTGAGCTTTAATTAGAGAATATAAAAGAGACACACACTTGATATAAAAAAAAAAAAATCAATTCAGACTTATATTTAACATAATATTCACAGTTTAGAGTTCATTTTGATTGTAATGGAAAAAAATGGTAATGTTGTTTCTGATCGGTTAGTGACCTCCCCTCGCAGTGTAGGAAATTAGTCACAGAGTGGCTTTAACAGGATTATCTGGACATGTAACCAAATGAACTTCTGTGATTTTGTAGAAGTAAAAGTTTTACTATAAATCCTCAGTGTAAGACAAAAAGTACACATCCTTTCTATCTGTTTAACAGCCAACTTGTTGTCTGGCCAAAGTGTAGAAAATCGGAGCTATGTCCAGTGTTATTGACTCAGAGTTTTGGCAAGAAACAGCAACTGCATTGCAGAGGGGAGAGCAGGGGAGAAGTGCCACCACTCCTGCAGTTAGAGTCATATTCTGATTTTGTTGTAGACCATTCATCTGCCTGTACGCACCACATGAGCCTGTCCCACTGTATCTGTCAGCACCACTCTTCCTGACATGGCTTTTTTTTTTACATGTTCACAACCAGGAATCGCAGTGTTCCTAACAGGAAGCTTGGGCAAAAACCAAATGTCTTTCCTGCTTAGATCAGCAGGAGAAGGGGGAAAGAAAGAATCTACCCTTCCCCGCCCATAAGCAGACCTGCTGAAATTAAAAACATTCACTGGCACACGTAGCTTCAAGGATGTTTACTGGATTAATACCTTTGTTATAGTTTTACTACTGTTGCTCTTGGAAGACGTAATACTATGATCATCACAAGAAAATATTTACATATCAAACTTAAATCAAAAAAATTATAATAGTTTGCACAATATACAACATTTTCCATAGAAACACAAAAGTAACTAGCTAGCGATACACGCTTTGCAATTTAAATTACCTAAATATAAACTAAATTAGAGCAAGATTGTATTGTGTGATAAGAAAACAAAACAAAAAGCAGTTCAAAAGTTACTCAGCGTTTTTTCCACTGTAACTTCACGTTAACGTTAGCTAAAAACAACATATAAAAGACAATCTGTAAACTTTATTCTAATGTTATATAAAATTATCCAACGTTAACAATAAAGTCACAACAAAACTCTTAAGTGGGGCAACGATAAATCAACAGCACAGAGCTAACTAAATGTAACGGAGTACAATGTATCCTGAACACACCAGTAAGTACTGCAAGTCCCCTGTGTGCACATGTTTGCAGGATTTATGTTTTATTATGTCGAAGTAACTGTGTACTGCAAACCGTTAGCTGATCAGGCTAGTCGATGCTAACCGCTAACGACAGTAGTGACACTGGCTAACGAAAAGAAAAAAAGTTTTGCAAACCTGACTGGCTTTATAAAACTGTTTCCTCAACCCCGCTACAGACATCTTGAAGTCCAGCAGTGATCAGCCTCCAATCAAGCAGACTGCAGCACACGATGAGTAAAGAAATGAGAGTTAAAGTTTAGGAAAAGGCCCAGAGCAGCAGCAGCAGCAGGAGCAGAAGAGTGGACGGGTTATCGCAGGACTGAGGAGAAGAGCAGAGAGTCTGGTCCCGGGACACGCCACTGACCACGGCCACGTATCTGCCCTGTCTAACTATTTGCCGCTGCAACACTTTCACTGCAACACCGCTGATAATCCTTCCCAAACTGAAATATCTCACACAAGAGACGCTTTTAGTTTGTAAGTGTATTAAATTTAAACACATCACTCAAATTAAAACCCTTTTTTTGACTTGAGAGATAAAAATTTTAAGATATGTTGGTGCACACTGCTCCCTGCTGGATACAAAATATACAGCATGTGTACATTTTCCACTGCACTGTGAACGAGTCAGAAAAATAATAAATAAATTAGGGTTGGGGAAAAAATAAAAAAATAATAATAAAAAAAATAAAAATAATAAATAAATAAATAAAAATAAATAATAATAATAATAATAATAATAATAATAATAATAATAATAATAATAATAATAATCGCATTAATCGCATGAGCTCGAGTGCGATGAATTAAAAAGCAGCAAGTAACGCACTTCTATTGGAAATGTAAATGAAAGAGCCATACATTTGTTGTGCCCTCAGAGCCTTCAAGGTATTCAGTAAAGGCTCAAGGAAAAAATATTTGTGCTACTAATATATTTTTTCAATATTTTTTATTCAGTGAGTAATAAACACTACTACTAGTAATAATTTCTAGATAATTGTTATAAACGTGGACTGATATTTCCAAAGGTTAAAAGGTTAAAATAATGGAATGAAATGGGACCAATCTAAATTTTTCTTCCAGTGGTATCTGGGTAAATCAGTGACTCCCCCTGCAGGCTCTGAACTAAAGAAATTGACAGTTGTTTTAGCCAATCATATTTCATTGAGTTATGGGCGGGATCATATCACGAAATCTTCCGAGCCTTCAGCGAATACCCTGTAAAAGTATTATGTAAGTGAGACCGCAGCGACGAAAACTACACTGGACGCCTCTATTTGGACGCTTCAGGGGCAAGAGCCCGCGGCTCGCGGCCCGGCCGGAGCCGGAGCCCGCAGCCGGGCCGAGCGCACGGCCCACGGAGGCTTGGACACGGTGCATCTCACGTGGTCAGAAAAAAGTGAAAGATGTGTAAAGAAGAGACATCAAACTTAAAGAAACTCTCGCTTTGGACTTTTTCAAAATAAAGGCCAATGAGCAACAGACGTTTACAATAAAAATAAATAATAAAAACTGCGTTAACGGCGTTAAAATAATTGTCGGTGATAATGAATTAATTAGTTAACGCAAAATTAACGCGTTAACGTGCCCGGCCCTAAAATAAATAAATAAATAAATATTTACTACAGTATAATATACATGCTGATATTGTTTATTATTGTGTATCATGTTAAAATAGTGTTTCCCACAGGTTTATAGCCGAGTGAGGCTATATCCATATTTGAATAATTTTATTTAATACAATTTATAGAAAACTTATATCACCTATTTCCTTTGCTCTGATTACAAATTACAGTATGTCAATGGAAATACTATAAGCATAAAGTAGGCCCGATAATGTGTTTATTTTTATAGGCAAATGGGAGTGTGGGTTCTGCTACCTGCATTTGTAATTCATTTTATCTTGTTATTTGTGTAGAATAAATTCTGAACATTAATTATTTTTAGAGATCAAAGGTTTTCTCGAAAAAACATGCATTCTTACTTTGAACAGGAATGTCTAGTCTTCACAGCTCTGACTTATAACTATGCATTAACTGATTGTCTCCATATAAAAGAGTAAGAGGTGCTTAAGCTTAAAGTGCTAACGACACGACAGGTTTTCTCATTTTTCTAATTGTTACCTGGCTTGGTGGGATATTACCTGTGGTAAATATGTTTTCATAGACAAGCAGGTAGCCTTCTCTTCACCAGGAAAAGTTACATAATGCACTTGAAAATTAATAATTAATAAATAATAAGTAAATGAATTTAGCAGTAGAATATTTGGGTACATAATAAAAAATATAGCCCAAATAAATGTGTATTTTGCTTTATTGTAAAAAGGTCTTTATTATTACATTCTTCAATCCACATTATAACACCATTGTGCAATAACACTTGACTGTGTAAAGACCTTCTCAGGCTTTATATCCATGACATATAAATTATTTTTTATTAAAAATCTATTTTGATTCAATAATATTAATAAACTTACTGAACATACTGAACATATCATAGAGAAGGATCATCACAAAAAGAAAGTTTAAAGGATACATGTTTAAAAACACTCTTTAAAAAAAATAGAATTACATCTCTCCAAGACAAAAAAGGACACTAAACCGATGAGAAAATGATAGTACATAAAAAGGACAAAATGAGAAGCAAAAGATCACAACAAAGCCAACACAAATTCAGAGATTATAATCTTTATAGTTATTTTGTTACATTTATTTGTAGCCTAATTCATCTATGACTCAAAAAAGAGAAAGACATTTGCAATAAAGATATTAGACAAAGGTAAAATCTTTGATACTTCTGTAATTAAACATTCACAAGAACATACTGTACACAGTGATCAAGGTTTAAGGTCTTCTATGTTGGTGCAAGGTGTCTAGTAACAGCAGACACTAGGACGAGAGCCCAGCTATCTCCCTGAGTGACGCGAACTGTGTGCGCAACAGCTCCCTGACTGCTCCGGGGCTGCTTCAACTATAGGCTACTTCTGTTTTAAAATGACATTCTTGGATCCAATGCACATATATTGCACATTTTTACAATCCTGTGCCACAATGAAATGGGCATTTATCAACATGTTAGCTGTTTATTTGGTACAAAAAATAGAGTTGTCTCTTTTGTGAGTTGAACTGTGCGTATTTGCTGGAGTGTATGACTTTAACTGTGTGACACTGAAACAATGGGAAAGACCCAAAACGTATGGCAAACAGCACTGTCCCAGCAGTGCAAAGCAACCCTGTCTAAAAAAACAAACACCGAAGTAGATACCCACTACCACGATTGTCAGCATTTAGAGGTATACATTAAACAAATGCTGCTGTTTTACTGCCCATGTTCAGAACACAATTTCTATGTGCACTCTGTCGCCCCAGAGACCGTGCCTCACATAGATCTATATCTAAATAGGGCTTTCTGGACCCAAAGGCATCAACTGTTCTCAAATGACAGATGAGCAGACAAAATGTCATCCTTGGATCAAGAGCATTTAAAAAAAATGTCTTGAGTCATTTAGACATATACCGCTTAAATGCATTTCAGTTTACCTGTCACTGACCTGACAACTAAATGTTTTTTTTCAAGAACCAGATATACTAACTCAGGGGGGTAGCTGTTGGCTCTGTCAACCCTTTGCTGAGCTATGTAGTGTTGAAAAGGTGAGGTAGTAAGGGAGTGGGGAAAAAGGAGAAGAGCTCCTATCTTCCAGTCGGTCAGATGACCCTCTCACTGTGTCACAGAGCACTCGGAACATGTACAATCTTACTCTTCCATGTCAGTAAAATGTCCTTTTAATTTTTGCACCAAACTCCCAGTTCAGTCCTTTGAAGGTGCTGCTCCAGGCTCAGGGCTGACGTTTTTACAGTTTCTCCCTGAGAGCACATCCACCCCACAGTGGTCACTTCCCAGCATCTCGTTCAAAATTGTCCACCTCCTGAGTGACACCAGCTTTTCACAGATGGTACTTTAAGTAGAAACCTGTACATCTGTGAGGGTTGACAGTTTTGGATTCGATAAAGGACTTTTAAGTGCTAATTAACTCTTTCAAATTATATCAGTTCCTGGAAGTCCAGATAATGGACTGACAGCACAGGCACTATGTACTTTTGAACTTTCTCCGTACTCACTAAATATCTTGGTTTTGGAAACAAGTTTTTCCTTACAAAAAGCTAATATTTATGTCCATGTTTAAAATGCATGGTTCATTCTACGATTCTATGTGGTGACATTTTAAAGGGTTAAGGTCATTTGGACTGAGGTCATTGATTGCATAAAAGAATTAAGAGCTAACTTTCAGTAAATTAGTATCTGAGGATGTGCTAGCAAAAATATCTACAAATATCAGCATAAGTGCTAGGTTTGTGCTGTGTGTGCAAGAGCTTGTCAACAGGGCCGAGGACACTGCCCATCACAGTTTTAAAAACTATTTCTGCTGATGAGTTTGATCATGGTCCCTTTCAACAGTTTGTTCATAAAACTGCAACATCTGGGCTACTCTGTATTACAGATCTCTAATGATCTGGTTTACTCCACTGAGACTAGCAGCGTAGCAGCACATCTAAGAAAAAGAAGGTGAGGTTTCTAAGGATGTACATTCTACTTCAAGCTTAGGAACGGCAAAGGGAAAGGGGGTACATTCAACAATAGCTTACAGGAACTTTGAGTAATACAGGTTACACTTTCTATAAAAGGAATTAAACTAATTAGAAGTTCAAATTCTTCTCATAGAAAAATAGTTTTGCCAGTTACAAATAATGTGTGCTACACATGACTTAGCTCATGGAGCCACGGCTGCAGTTGCTGTAGTGTTGTGTGACGTGGGCCAGCTGCAGGGCAGTGGTGCGGACTCCAGGCAGAGTTCACGGGTGAGAGGAGGAGTGTGTCTAAAGTGTAGCATGCACGATTGTCATTGAGCTGCTGGTTGATGTTTGCCTCAGCTGGTTGCCATGTTCACTCAGTATCACCTCCTTCACGTCAGTGAGTCAGTTCATATCAACCATGGCTAACTAGGCCTGGTGCTAACCCTCTGTGGAGTCTGGGAAAGGGATTTCACTGCCAAAGACCTCTCTGTACAAAGGAGGAAATGTGTAGGCAGTCTCAGGGTGGACCAGACGGAAAAACTCCAATTTGTCGATGTGGAGGTTACAAATGGACTTCATTATAGGGAGTTTAGAAACCATCTAGAAGACAAAGACTGGCATTAGCTTATGAATATAATCATTAAATACATCTCAAACTTCAGGATAAACTGTACCTTAGCAAGTTTGCCTTCTGATGAGCCCTCTTCCTGTAGACAGCGCTGCAGAGCCAGGTACACCTTCTCCTGCATCTTCTGTATCTTGTGTACATCTGTGAGCCACAGCCGATCTGAGAAAGTCAAATATTTTTCTTTGAGTTAAAATTTTTTTACAAAATATCTCTTCTATCTTCTATTAAAGACAACATTATATAAATATTGTATTCAGTATAATATATTTGAAGCAATACCTGGAGAAAGCAGCACAGCAGCACTGAACAGAGCCATCTCCTCCTCTGACATTTGTAAGCGACTCAGGCTCCTGGCCAAGTCAAACACTGAGGTGACCAGATCATCACAGCCTTCAAGGAATGAAAAGCACAGGCTATTCAAACACTATTTTATCACAGATGTGGTGTTGGCATGCATTGATTTGATTTATGAATGTGAACAGACAAAGATGCTGAGGTGTTGACTCACCAAGAGCTTTAAAAAGATGAGCTGTGGCAAACTTCCCATCAAAAAGCATTGTATTATTGATAGGGTTATAAGCCCGGCACATACGGATCAAAAGTACATCCATGCAGCCTGACAACAGACAATCATATTCAAATTCAGCAACGAACTCAGTTAAGTGCAGTTTCAAAACATGGTTTATCAAATATATTCAAATATATATGATTCATACAGCAATAAAAAACACCAGAAAATGGAACTCTAGCCATTAAGTTTTATTTAGAATGCATTGTGGAAACTTGATAACTGGTTCACAGAACATAATGGAATGATTTTTTCTGACCTTCATGTGTGTCAAAGACAAAGTTTCACACCCAGCTTGGATTTTATGTAATTAAGAAAAAAAATCACTATGACTGAGCTATTGAAATAAAGAGAGCTGTTTATGATGACAAATAGGCTATGACTAGAAAGACTTCTTTTTTGGTTGTGAGATGTTCCTTTTAATTTGGGATTATTTTCTGATAGGAGTGAATAAGCACATTGATTTAAAAAGTAGTCTGAGTGTACTATCAGTGTGGGAGATGCTGATGCACTGACCTGCTTTTAAAAGGATAATCTGATCATTTTGACAGAGGTCCATGAAGCCAGAGATGCGCTTTGCAAACTCCACCACATACTGGACTGCATTGGTAATGTGAATAGCACATTGTTGCCACATCGCCTCAGCTGACTGAAGGAAAAGGATAAGATGAATCATTTACTATTGTTATAACACCCATTGAATTAATCAGAATATTATTATTTCATTTCTAAAATAGTAAGAGTGCTTTCTCGGATACCTTGCTTTGAATGGACCGTGTCTCTTCTGGACTGTACAGGGTCCAGGCCATGCGTTTGAGCTCCTCTGTGCTGTACTGTCGCGTCTCAATGTGTGACTTCACCACATTCTGAGTTATGCGCTCTGAACAGAAAAAAAGATTATGGCCATTCCATATGCATTTATGTCACCCTGTAAGACAGTGTATTCCTTGATTTTCATACCTATTTCAATGAGAGGGCAGCCTTCAGGCAGTGGGTTGAGAATGGCATGTGAGAATAACCCAGAGTTGTGGAGCAGTTGGTATTCATGCTTGATGTTGTGGTTGGCCTCATTGAAGTCCAGGTTGGTCTGCTCTGGAGAGCTCTGGGAGGAGGAGCTGCTGCCCCCGCTGCCCCCCAGCATGTCCAGGTTACAGTAGTCGCCCCCGCCGTCTTCTGGTGTAAGCGGCAGGTCGAACAGCAGCCCCTCAGGCAGAGCACTGATGTCATCCAGGTCACTCAGGGCTGCACTGGAGCCCCGGCTGTAGGTGCGCCCGTGCACTGGCAGGTCCCTGCCTTCCTCACGAGCACCCATCCCCGCACACTCCTGAGACTGCTGGTGCCTCTGGACCTCCTCATACAGGCTGTCCCGCTGCTTCTTAGACATACGGCCAAATTTGACAGCTGTAGGAAAACAAGCATAACAGAGATTAGTTTACATGTCCTCATGTGGAATTGAGAAAAAAACTTGCATGCATGAGGGTTAGATATTGAACCGACCATCACGGCTCATGCCCAGGGCCAGGCACTTCTGCAGCCTGCAGTGCTGACAGCGGTTGCGGTTGGTCCGATCAATGAGACAGTTCCTCTGTCGAGAGCAGGAGTACATAGCATTGTTCTGCTGACTGCGGCGAAAGAAACCCTGACAAAAAAACAACAACACTGACATTAGAAACTAAGTACCATAATAGATTATTTTATTATCTAAAAGATACAAAGTGGACACTCACTTTGCAGCCTTCACAGGTGATGACGCCATAATGGATCCCTGATGATTTATCCCCACAAATCTTGCAGGGGATTACTTCTATTTGAGCTGAGAACAGAAAGAATAAAAAGAAACATTGAAACATAGATTAACATTATGAGCACAAAAACACTTACATCAGTTTGCAGTAGCGCAATGTGAGTAAACATGTCCTGTTTTTGCTCCATGTCTTGAATGCAATAAGTGTAAGAATCTTTCAATTGTATTTTTACAAGATCAAATGAGATGAGAATGAAAGCAAAGTAATATTTACTTTGAAGGAATTGCATAATTCCACTCTAATAAATCTAAAGTGGCCCAAGGCTGCCACAACAATGCAAGCTCAGAGCAGTGACTCAGTGGTCCATCTGAGCAAGGCTAAGATTTAGCTAACACTGTTGAGTGCAGTACAATGTAGGCCTCAGTAGTGCACAGATATGAAGTCTATGTGCCCACATTTGCACTGTTCATTGTGAAAGCCTGAACCGTCTTACCCAGGAACAGCCTGTTCTTTTCAGTATGTTGTTTATCTAAGTAGCTGGGCCTCCTCAAGCCCAGAATAGCAGCTCAATTGCATTAGCCAAGGCACAGGGTTATAAAGTTTCACGCTCTCTCCTACTTTAGCTCCGCCCCAGGAAGAGCTGTTCATTAGCAGGTTAACTAAGACACACTGGCACACTGAACCCTGAAGGCCCACAGATATGGCCTCCTTAGATGTGCTTACTGTGCAGGATGGGCACAAAATCTGATTTGAGCTTTGAGCTGAGAATCACTTGTGTTGCATCATGGGATATTAGGTAACCAGTAAATGGCAGCGATAGCTCTAACTGGCCTTCTCAGCGCGTCTCAGAAAATTGCTGTTTTGTGAGGGTTCTTTCATAAAGTGCTCGTCTAAGCAATCACATGAGTCACTGAGTGTGGGGGAAGGTGTGCGTCACTACGGTTACTGACCGACATTATCCCATGGATCCTGACTTTAGGATTCAATTTCCTCACACATTTGTCTTTTTGTGCCTCTGTGGTTTGCTTCTGAAAGCTAGAATTCCACTTGGCAATTGAAACACAGAGGATATAAATAAATTAAGGGCCACTGGAAAAAGCCTTTCTACGTGCTGCCTGGACCGCTCCCCCTCCCGCACCTCTCCCTGTGTTATATAACTGCTGTCTGGCCACATTCCATGAACACGCTCATTCAAAGGTGGTTGTCTTGGCAACTCCCAGAGCTCCTGCTCCACTGTTCTGCCTCTCCATTGGCCATTGCACAGAGTTACTTCGCCTGTGATTAGCCACCTCACCTGCCAGTCAGCTGAGTGGAGCAGCCAGGCCCCACAGAGTAGGAGCTGTTCCACTGACACACTTTTCTCACTCAGCAGCAGAGGGAGGTGCTTCATGGCAGACGCACAAGAAATACAATCTGCTTTTTAGGGAGGAACCAAATCTGACTCAGGCCTGTAAGTAAAGGCCGAGCCATAGCCTTTGTTTTGGATCAGAGCCATAACAATGTAAGGTGTGATAACTTAAATGGTAGCTTAAAGGTTATTACCTCACACGAGCACTTGTGTAACACCTGAATGTTTTTGTGAGCAGGCCTATACAGTAACACGCAGAGTAGAAACAGAAGTGTCTAATAGTGGCCCCTAGCATGTTGCTGCATGTCAACTATTTGAGTGAAATTTCATCTGTGCTTACGCGTCACCATAAATCTATTTTTACTCAGAGCAGTTGGCTGGACACATATGCTCCCACTGTTCTGGCTTGGTGGCAAACAAATATTGCACAACATGCACGGCAGTGTTTCATGTAAATAAGTTATTAGGTCCAATTCTGGACTTTCATGGTCATTCTGTAGCAGAATAAACAAAAACAATGACAATGATCAGTTACACACAATTTCATTACATTCTTGTTCATTACAAGAATCAATTTATCTAATATTGAAATCATGCAAAACATTATGATCCACCTGTCAGTGCTAACACTGACGGCACTGACAGCTTTAACAGTTGGAGACATATATAGTGAGCAGTTTAACAAACTTGAATTTGTGATGTAATCTATTTGAAGAAGCTCTGTCATGATCAGCACTTTTCATGTCTGTAAACTGTGTTATGGGACTTTGACCTCTCTTCCCAGCTAATCAAACACGGTCCAAGGTCCTATTTGCCTTGTGCTTTACATTTACCTGAAATACTGTGTACTTAACCTACATCTGACAGGGACTGCAGGCCTGTGTCTGTGTGCATACATTGTATATTGTGCAACATTGTGCAATAAAGGGCTTAGGCCATCAGATTGTTTCTTTTGTTATTATATGCAATATTCAATTTGTCTTATTTATACTCATGTTTAAGTGTGTAAGGGGCGGTAAAATAATTATTGGTAAATCCTTGTGCATTTTGAGAAATTTTAAATATTTTTATTGGACAAAATACTGACTGAGATTTCTTCACTCTTTCTATTCCTTTGACAAAATGAAATATATTGACTTGAACATGTGAAGCTGCTGCAGGACTGAGCCCATGTGGGCCTCTCAAACACAAGCAAAAGCAGAGAGAGGAATCTGGTTCTCAGCACGCACCTCTGCAGTGGAGCCCAGGGCTCTTCCAACCACAGCTCCTCTCAGTCACCTTGAGTTTAAATCTCAAGATGTCTGTTGTGACATTAATATCTTACTTATCTCTTTATATTCTAATATGACCAATCTGTCCTACATCAATAAATATTTTTAAAACAAGCAAAAAAAAAAAAAAAAAAAGAGTACAAATATGTGGACAGGAGATTGCAGATATAGTTGTGGTACCAATCAGTATTTTACAATGGCAAATCTTTTTTACATAGTGATGTGCAGAGAACTAAAGTCTCAGAGCAGAGAAAAAGAGTGGAATGTTGAGTTGAGCTGTCAGAGGGAAAGGGCACCTTGACACATACTGTATCTGACTGTGAACTTGCCCAAGGCTGCACAGTCGCAGAGCAGAGCACAGCTGTCCTGCAGAGCACAGCGGCCTCCTCTTTACAGCCAGACCTTTTGATCCTAGGCCCCATCTTATCAGGAGGCCCGCACATCTTGGGACTAAGTCCAACCACTCAAGTGCACCACAACATTTAACCTGTTTGAGCCAAAATGTGCCGTTTCACAAGAGCAATATGGACAACTCTGACAGACACTTATCAGGAAATTGATCCACAAAATGTTATGACAATGCTCATGTGGTTTCCCTTACATATAATATTTATACTTGTGATTACAGGGTGGAAACCAAATGGTGAATAATGCAGTATTATTATACAACAGTGGAGCTGGAGGGGCTCTGTGGTTGATGTAAGTAACCTTAGCTGACAGAGGAAACTGAGCTTAACTCAGGCCGGCTGTGGCTCATGGTTAAATGTAGGCTTGCTGTGCCCATATCCTGCTTGTCACAGCAGTGCATGAGTCTGACATCCTGACAGCACCAAACCAAGCAGATCAAATCAAACTCCCACTGCTGCTACCTTTTGCAAAATAAAAGGCCATTGGCCAATATATATTACTTATAGGCTACATCATTCTTATACAGACAGTAGCATTACAGAACAATGTCCTATGTGTGATGTAAACTTTGTTGACTTGAGATCCCCATGATGAGTGTACCTCATCAGTAGGCCTAATGACGACAGTACAGGCACATACACACATAGGCAGTAATCCTCATTGACAGAACTAGGTCAATGGAGCACCCCCCTCCCCTCACGCTGACCGTCACAGCGATGATGCTAAAAAACAAAAACACGTTGGCGTATCAGCTCCTCTCAAACAAACAAAAAAATAAAGCAAACAACAAGCCAGTGCTTCAGTAGGCTACTGTTGAGGACTAGAGTCTAAAACAGAGTCTAATCAGATGTGAACAAGAAGCTGCTGTCTACAGGCCTAGACTATTACAAAGTCAAAAATCTTGATCACAATGTGTAATGACTTATAACTTTGTTACTACAGAGGAATAGACCTAGTAAACACATCTTGATATCAGGGGTAAACGGTGCCGGGCAGCCGTGCGGACTGAGTGCTTTGACAGTCAGTCTGTGATTCATGCTCCCTCCTCCTCCCTCTGCTGTTTCTTACATAACTGAAGCCGCTCACCGGCGGAATAAAGCAACCGCAGCTACAACGCGTTCTTCTGTCGCTCGCTAAATCTCAACAAAAGCGCAATAAAAAAGGAAAATAATACACTTACAAACACTACAACTCGACAACATTAAAAGTTGCCAATATGAGACAGAGGAAAATGATGGGCCAAGTAGCTCAATTACATGGATTGAATCATAATCTAAACATCACTTTTGCATTTGTCAGCTATGTGTCGAAAAAACTCTGACTGATGAGCACAGTTAGAGTAAATATTATATAAATGTGTCTGCGCGTAAAAGGTTGTTTGTTGTGTGCGCACTTCGGACTTCGGTTTCAAAGAGGCGCCGCCACACCATAAAGTTTCCGCCCCTGAAAATAAATGTCAAAAGCAGATAATTCAAACAAACACTCACCTCTCATGTTGGCGCTAAAGTCTGACAAGTCTTCAAGTCATAAAAGTCCAAGTGGAAATTGAGCCAAAAAACACTGAAAGCAACGCAAACTTGCTCCACTCGGGAGCAGCTGAGAACTGTCACAACAGCTAATCCTCATATGGCTCTGGAGCAGTCCGTCGGAGGTGAAAACGCAGCTAAATGTTACTAAAGTGTAGTTAGGTGTGATCGCTGTGCTGGTGCAGTCCAAATACACGCTGTAGAGACAAGTGGGAGAAGTCAGAAAGCTGCGGTTCCTCGGCTCTTTGCTGCGCTCTGCTCCGTGGCTCGCTCTAACCTAGTTTCGGCGCGTGGACTACACATGATCCTCAGCCGCGGTCCGCCCGCCTCGTGCCCCGTGAGCTGCGCGCGCGCCCCCTCTGCGCGCTTTAAGGAGGAGCTCGCTCGCGTGCGTGGGAAAGTGTGGCAGTGTGTCAGTTCAGAGTGCCGGTCACACGCCGTGGGAAATGTATGCTTCAATCTAATGCACTGTTATATTTATGCACAATGCGTCTTCTTAGTAATTAACAGGCTATTGCATAGCATTTTTTTTTTTTTTAACGCATCTAATAAAAGAATCAGTATTGTTACTGGACAGAGGAAAACTATCAAGAACGAACTCAGGTATCATGTTTAGACATGCAACGACAGTTTTTATTATTTTAAGACTAAAATATACTTTTCAATTTGTCTCTATAGTAAGTTCATCTTCTGCACTGCAGGAGGGCAACTGTAGGCCTAAACAGCGCAATATGCCAGTGACATCTGCTATTATAAAATAGTGCAATCTAACTTTGATTGGGCTTTGTGAAATACAACCTATTGTGTAGGTCCTATAAACATGTTGTTATATAATGGACCCACAATGAATTACTAATTTACAGACCTCACACAAATGGCTGCTTACCATTTTCACTAACTTTTTTACCCATTAAATTTAACCGAATTAAGTTAGAATTGTATTGTAGTCTTTATATGCCTCCACATAACAGAGATAAAACAGCGATTACGTTTCATATAACCTTTGGACCAGGAAGAGGACATTACAGATTACTGGACAAGTCTACCTTCAAACATATTTGTCTTGTCATTGTAGAATTGTATTTACAAAAAACAAAACAAACAAAAAAACCTAGATCTTCTGACTGACCACTGTTTGTTTGGAGCTGAATTCAACATTGTAGAGTGTGTTATATCACTGGATTAACCAACACTAATCTCAGTGAGGGAATTAAACCGGAGTAGGCTACATCCTGTCACAATGTGTTTTTGTTGTGCTTCTCTTTCGTCTTACAAGTACTTTATCATAACTGTACTGCCATGTGTATTTTATATTATCATTATCATCTCACCACAAAGTACAGACAGCATTCCTTGAAAAGTTGAGTTCATTGCAGAGTACACACCCTTTTACTGTGCCAGAGAGCTTGTGCCAACCACGACTCAAACCAAAACAAAAAATCCTGCTGATGAAAATAACTGATTTGCAAGCGTGGGTAGGATGACGAACGTATCATGTAACTTAGGCGCAGTTATGAAATGAGGAGAAGCAAGAGATTATGGTAAGTAGGTTAGTGGAGCAACACAGAGCGTTCACACCCCTCCCTTCCTAAGTGTGCATGCGCGTTGTCCCTCTCTGCTTGCTTGCTTTTGTCAACTGGTCTTTTGTGCCGAATGATACGAACAGCCCTATGAGCAGTTACAGAGACATGTACGTGCGCTCTCTCTCAGGCACCACCCTTGCTTTGGTCCTGTATTGTTTATGTGGGTACTCATGGTTTTGTCTGCATGTTCTATACTGGGATCTGTCTCGCCCTTATGAGCAGCAACAAAAAGAGAAACAAACTCCTAGCCATAAATGGAATGCTATAATGCTTACGATAGAGCACAATGCTGGGAAATTTACAGTAAAAATGTTTGTTTGGCCATATTCTTTGCTATCAGCTTCCTCTTCCTCATATTTAGACAGCTTTACCAGCCAATAGTTTCCTTCCTTCACTATCCCTATTCTGAGTATTGCCGCCCGAGATGTCCTTTAGCGTGCTTCTACACCGCCATGCTTCATCCTCACATCCTGCAGCGTCACTGACCTCCTGACCCCCAATCTTATGTAACCATGGCAATACCCAAATTAGAACATGGAGGACGGAAAAAGGGCGGGGCCTCTGATTTGTAGCATGGCCCAAGACCAGCTTTCCATATTAAGCTATTAGAGCATAAATCTATAGATAGATTAGATTGGCAGGCACGTTGATAGTGAGGCCCACACGTTCATATAATAGTTTGTACTAGCAGGAGAGTGTACTACAAAATGCAAAGACAATCTATTATCTGGAGCTGCCCAGTGCATAAAGCTGTGTATACTGAGAGGATTATTTTAGGTTCCCGCTCCTCGCTCCATAATCCCGACTGGTCTCCTCACCCTCATCCCGTTAAACCCTCTCGCTTCTTCTCTAATCTCCCCTGCTCGTTCTCGCTGTGTGGCTCTAATCTAGTCTGTACCTGTCTCTCACCTGCGCCAGCTCCACATCAACAGGCTGTAACCACAAGCCTGAGAGCACGACAACAATATCCAAAATGTCTACAAGTAAACAGTAATTAAATACGCCCTTAAAAGCACTGGGGTGGCAGGCAGTGAATGTCATTTTGACATCTCTTGCCTACATTCAACTTGACTTGAATCTGATTTAAATATTATTATGTAGTTTTCCAATCACTCTGCATGTGAGGCTCATAATCTGATGTTGCAAAAGTAGAAAAACTGACAGAGGAACAATATACAGTGAAACACATAGTGGCCAAGGCGAGGCAGGATGATAATAATAAGGGAGCAGCTGAACAGGAATGCCTTAATGACACAAAAGGGAATATAAAACATAATTAGCTTGTATAACCTGTCTGATTAAGTAACTTCAGCTATTAAAATGAGAGCCAAGAACACTTCCATAACCACCTTTTAACTGATTTAAAACTTCATTGTGTGTTTGTCTACGTCAATACAGTGATGTATTGTGGCAAGTATAAAATACTTGGTTAATTGCACATATGGACGGCATTGTGTTACCTAAACTTTCCGGCAAACTTGTCTCCAGTAATAGCCCCTTTAATAGCTGACTAAAGTCCCTGCTATGACTCTTTCCTGTACTGCTGCACAATCTTTGTTTGCAATATGCTAAAAGAGCATTTCTAAATACAAGCCTTGTAAAGTGAGCATCTGGGTTCACTGATAGTGGCGGTCAGCAGAGTATCAGATTTACTCTTTTCTCATTCGTCTCCCTAATTACAGCAAAGGTGCAAAATCGGCCTGAGAAGACAATCTGCTTGTAGTTTCATGACAAATGGTTGGAAAGTAAAGAGATACTTAAACTGAAGCACATGTTTCTACTAATCCTGTTCTTGTCTTGATAATATGGACATTTTTGTCACCTGTACTACTTGTAGCCAGAAGAGTTATTATGTTTTTTTTTTTTATATTTTAGTTTAGTTTTAATCTATAACATAAATAGATTATCATTTCACATTTTATTAATCATAAACAGCAATATAGATATAAAAGCACTTCAAGAAATTGATCTATTTACATCACATTCAAAACTGCAGAGCTGATTCTATATTCCTGGCCCTGCATTTCACAGTAGCAAGTAGCAGATTTTCATTTAAAGTAGCTATGTTACATTTTAAGACCCTATCACTCAGAGTCTTAATTTTTCTTTTAATAGCAATTTAAGTATACAGATTTAGGAGGGAGTATTTAAGCCTTAAATGCAGTACAGCAGAGGAGTACTCAAACATGTATGAATCAAACACCACTACAACATGGTTAATTAAATGATATGTTGATTTTGTATATGTTCAATTTTAACAGTAGTAATCTATATAGCAGTAATAGTGGTTGCTGTTATAGTAGTTATAGCACAGTAGCAGAAGTTGTAACATGTACAGTCTTGTTCTCCCTTACTAGACACCTATAGGTTTTATACTATGTACTTGACACAGCTCTCCACATACGTATAAGCCTATCTGAGCTTTGTCCTTCTGACTCAAAAACTACAGTGGCATGTGACCCCTGTTAAGTAGCTACTTTGGTAGTGACTGGGTGGCATGGTGGTACAGTGTTTAGCAAGGCTTCACAATGACAAGTTCCTGAGTGGATTCAGTTCATAGACTGGAACATTGAAGTTAAAGGTGCATTGGTGCTTTTCTGGTGGAAGATCTGTCAAAAACCTTTATTCATGGAGATGTCATTGCTTTGTCTGGAATGTTTCACAGGATTAAGCCTTTTAAGACCAAACCAGAGGAAGTTATAGGTCAAATCTGTGGAGAGCCAATACCACTCACTGTCAGAATGCCTGCTTTTCTAGATATTTTTGAGCTATAAAACCACCTGTAATTTAATACATCTATGTAATGTCATATTGTGAAACATTCTAATCAGAGCAATAACATATTAACAGAAACAAGGTGACAAACCCCCACCAAAAAGTTAGAAAGTGCCTCTTTAAGTTTGCATGTTTGTTATATTCCAGTTCCCTACCACTATAAAGAGGACTTCCTTAAAACTTAAATTCTGAATGTCAGTGGGACTGGTTAAATAATCATTAAACATTAAATACCTCATACAAAATAAAACAAAACAAAGCAAACAAAAAAAAAAAACCTGACAAAAAACTATTTAGTATATTACTAATTGTGGCAGAGGTGATATGGGGAGAACCAACAATATAAATAAATACAGCGTCCTTCAGTTCACATTAGTTAACACTGATATTTGTCCTCCATGAGCAGCTGTCAGTGCAAAGATAGCAGCATTTAGCACCCTTAGCCACATATTAGCATATTAGCCTTATATTCTGTCATCAAGCTGCTGTTGCTGTCTCTCTGGTCCCACAGGATGAGGACATTCACAGGACAAGCATTCAATTAAAGATGACATTTAACAAGATGTCTCAGTCCACATTGCACCATTGTTCTGTTGTCTGTCTACTGCTTGGCTTTACTTTCGATAATATCACAACTGACAGTGGTGACAGCAGACTTTTGACGACATTTGATGAAACGATAAGGGTGCCAAGATTCTGTCCATCTTTATATTTTATTGTATTTTTATTTTAATGTATAACTGTCACTAAATTTGGGTGACCAAATGTCATTTACCTGGGACAGTGCCAGTTTTGAGCCCTGCGTCCTTTGTCCCTGTGGATTGATCCGAAAATACTGATTTGTCAGCTTTACACAAGAAATGTCCCAGGAGTCCCTATTTTTGACCAATCCGATCCCAACCAAGTAAAGAGGGACATAAATTGTCATTTGTTTAACTAAAATACAGAAAACCCT